ACCTGATCACAGGAATCGCCTTTCCATCCACGATCGCAATCGCACTTCCCCTGTTGATTACAGATGCCATGCCCATTACAGTTCGGTTCCACACACCAGTGCGCCAACAGATCACAATCTGCACCTTTATAACCCTCATGGCAAACGCATTGTCCACCAGAAAACAACCCATTACCACTACATAGCACTGGACATGAACCTGAAATGCAAGTTCGATTTAAATCCAAATTTCTGGAGTTCCTGCCTTAAATCACACTTTTGACTTGGAGTTAAAATTTCACTTCATCTCAAAAGCGAAGTAAGGAACTGTTTCGTCTGCAATAACTTGATTTAGCAACTGGCAACCAAAGGCTATTTATCAGGTTGTACTCTATGGAATCCCTTGAGATTATCACGTTTCTAAACGGTAAAGATCTCAAGCGATTAAATTCTTCGGACACGATCAGTCAGTAGGAAAATTCAGTGAATAAAGCACTTGTAAACACGAACTTTCTTCGCAGTACGCTCCGCTGTAACCAGCGAAGCAATGGCACTTTCCGTCTTTGCACTCCCCTCGACCGGTACAATCGAAACGACAATCATCTCGCCTTTCTTCATCTCCATCCTCCAATTGCTCAGCAGCTACACCCACTGATAATCGGATATCCTCACTCTTCAAATATATCCAAATCCACAAACGAACAGTCCAAGTCAAAGAGTTATTTCAAACGAAAACCGTTGCAAAACAACAAAAATGTTTCTTTAAACCAATTATCAGAAAAATCAAAAGTATTCGTTTACATCGAGGATTATAGACTTTGGCTAACACTAATGAAAACAACTGTTCAAACATATAACAGTTTGTTTGTTGGCTATTCACGTAAACGTTTGCATCCATAACTAAATATCTAACGAGTATGACTGGAAATCCTTCAAAATTCAACACTATTAGGGGAGGATTCCATTGACAGTAGACTCGCTGATTACCTGAGGTCCGTCGTTCAAGAAACCAAGATGCCATCGGCCGGCCAGTAGATAATGTGTGAGAATTGCAGATCGCAACAGCTGTAAGATTAAAGACTGCTGCATCAAATCGAACTCAATCAACAATACAATACAATCTCTTAAGTTGCTTCCTTTTGCCACTCACCACCCGTTTTCCTCATTCTTGCTATTCACTTCACCTCGAGCGATTTTGTTTTAACACTGAACACTTCCACCAAACAATAAGGCCAAATATCAATAATCCCATTTTAGATTTAATCAATCACCATCGGTAACAACTGACGGAACTATGACTCATTCATCCATTCACATCTTTAACGAATTCTTTTCAAAAGTACAAAGGTAAACGTAAAACTAAATCACAGCGTGGACAAAGGTATATAACGATGATAGATGCGCAGTATATCAATATAATATCAGACTATCTGCAAAGCTCCTTCCCGACCCTAATGCCTTCACTCTTAACACTCAATTAATTCAGCTGACAAATGAAGATGAATCGGTGTCTAGCCAAGAATTATTTACTTTCCACAAGACACTCCAAAAAATTCACTGAATATAAAAGAGAAAAATTTCGAATGTAAAAAAATTCCATTTCATTGCAATTCATTTCACTCAATAGCCAAAGATCACGCCTCTTGGTAACGCAATATGAATCGAATTCTTCTTCGAATATCACTCAAGTTTTGCTGATTTCATACTTAAGCGGAATAAAATTCATTAAATTAATCAAAATTTTCAATCCGGATAGTGAATTATCCATCAATCAATTGAAAGCTAACCGGTAATGGGAACGGTTGCGATGTGGATCGCCTGAAACGTTCCTGAATAAGCTCGGACGGGATCGGTAGTCGATCAGCACGAACGATATCACTAAAATCATGCACTGCTGGAGAGGGTAGTGCCGTCTGACGGCCATATATAACCAATTGAGCCTTCGGACCAACCGAAACGTTGAACGCTATTCGACTGTCACGTTGCAATGAAAATTTACTGCAAATCATATTCAGATATTAATGTGTTTGCAAATGGTTCCTGTTGCTCATTCATATAATACTCAGTTTTAAAATCAGTATATGTTCAGAAGGATTCAGATGCTTTTTGAATGATTATTTGCTGAAGAATGATGATTTTTGGAGGTATTACTTAATATACCGGAAAGTCTCTGTGTCACGCCATCTTATAAATNACACTTACTAAATCTCATGAATAACTCGCAGCATATTACGGAACCCATTTGAGGCTAAATTTATCAAATCGCTCACTTAGCTAATACTTTCTATTCATAAGATTCACTGAACAAAGCGATTTTACTGAGTTGATGCGTTGAAGCGATTGTATAGAACACGAACGAATTTAGTACTGAGATTCCTTAATGAATTCGACTGAACGAAAATAATGTTGGATGAAGGGTGAAAGAAAAACTGACGTGTAGACAATAACACCAGGCGGAAGCTGTCCATGAATAGTTTCACCAATTTCGAAACTTTCTGGCAGTGATTGTTGATGAGGTATTTGTAGTGAAGACACTTCTTGATTTTGAGCTGATTTCAGTCGTATCAGTTCAGAATCTGAACCTGATCCAGCCGGACCAGGCGAATGTGAACGGGTTGACGATGAACCCGATGAGGTGGACGACGAGGACGATGAAAACGCTGAACGTGCCGAATGAACATATACATGACGTGACGCATCACCGCTTAACAATACTGAAATCTCAATAAAATCTTTAATTAGCGACTCGGAATCTACTCCAGTTTATTATAAAAACAATCAACTTTTTCCGTTTCTTNCCGTTTCTTCCATGTTCTAATAATTCTTAATAGATGAATCCTTTTAATTCAAGGATTCAAAGGAATAACTTCTGTGTTAAGTGATAAAGTAATTTAATACGATTTCATGTTTATTTCCAGAGTTTTCCCTATAGATTGCTTCTATTTAACGACTGACTTCCAATGGAATTGACCCAAATTGTTGCACAAATTTATAGCTTTGAATTGTTTGCAATACGATTGTCGTTTCTATGATGTATACAAATCAACAATGTCTCTCACGGTTACGAATATATCTCATCTCAAAAGCATTGACTAAGCAGCACATATGGAATACGTGAAAAAGCTATAAGCTATATGCGCAAGCAAACATAACAGGACAAATTTATTCCCTTAAATAGAGCTAATTCCCATTCAGTGTTAAGCTATACCCTCATTCAACTGCTGACATTCACCACATAGCAATGTACCAACACAATGTCAGTATAATCGTTAAATTAGACCAATTACATTGCAAATTCTTGATCATATGTGGTGATACAATTACAATTCATTACTAATCATTCATCTAACAACGCAGTTTCATTCAATGGCAGATTCGTTATAAAACAGAATCAATTTGCACACAGATACGTCTAGCATAATGGCGGTCAACGCTTTGAAGCGCTGTACTATTCCATGACTAATGTAATTACGTATTTGTTGGTTTGTTTCAGAGAAATGCATTCAGTGATTCTATATGACAGAATATATCCTCATTGATCACTGATGATCATTAGAACTCGTCGTGGATACGAAGAATAATCTCATTGGAACCTAGAATCTGTATCAACTCATCAGGATAACCCTTAAGAACCGCTTAGATGGTCGATTACCGTTAGCATTCGACTAACTTGCGAAAACTTCCGAGAGCAAAATTTCTTAACTATGGTTTTTTGGTTTTGGCAAATAAGATCATCGCGAATTGATGAGATAATAAGAGATTGAAAAACGAAGGATTATCGGAATTTAGGAAATAATTGAACAAAACAAAGAACTAACATAATAAAATAATGAACGAAAGAAGAGCCAGCGAAAGAAATAAGCAGATCGCCAGTGTCCTCCATGTACAAAACCTCGACAACGGTTTCTTTTCACGAGTTGACGACGAATTTCCGTTCATATACGATTGCATTGTTGATTTCTTCAACTCGTACTCAACAACGCCTTCTTTTGAATCCTTTATTAAACTCGGACCGAATCGACAACTACGACCGTTTCCCGACGACTTTACTCCTAGTCCACTCATCGGCATACCGCATGACCTGAAATTCATTTTTGCATCATTCGAATAATTCCGAAACACGACATTTTATGAGAAATGAAGTTCGATAGAACAAGATCAATTATTTGCGAAGTCTGACGGTGATCTGGAACAATACATGAGAGGAATGTAGACGAACAAGCCGTGAAAGATGTACGTGCATTGGCTCCAAGACATTCAACAGAGTTTGCAATGTTCATCAGAGTTTGCAATTTAAGACGTTCAATAGATAACATTAAGAGAGTATGCAAATCCAAAGCAGAACCATAGTATATGCAAGTGTTCCGGAAATGTTACTCATTATTGAAAATTGTATTTTGGAGAAAAATCCAAACAAATTCTAATACAAAATCCCCATTTCACACATTGCTTTTCATTCACCAATCCAAAACGTTTCATACGCAAGAAGTATTTATCCCGTTAAATTCAATTATTTGTACATCGTTTTTTGCATCAGAAGACCAAAACGAAATTAATGAGAATGTAATGTGTTGAATGTATACAGAAATTGTGTTATACAGAAAGCGTTGCTGCACTACATCCACTTATTGTTAGCAAAAATAAGTAGAATAAACTGCGCATTCGGCTGTTGACTTGACGAATATTTTGCACTTCTTTTACCATATGTACGCAGATTAGAGTCGATCAATGGGAAGGAATACTTAATAATGGCACACTTTTTGGGATGATTAATACTGGCACACTTTTTTTGGATAAATATAGTCCGTTAGATGGTTCCGAAAGTGCGAAAGCAATCATTTGGTTATGGCAGAACGAACGATAGATCCTCATCATCAGGCCCATAAACGCCTTTTGTGTTACTACACAAAGCGATTCCAAAATAGTTTGTTAAGATATGGAATTAGACGATGACAGAAGATATTTGAAAGGACTTAAACTGAACACAATATCAACGGAATATAGGATTCTTACGAAATAGCTGCCTGTTAAGGAATATTACGGTGAACGTGAATATCCGGTGAAGTATTTGGATAAGTCAGTAGAAGATATTTATTCAATATTCAAATTTATTTAATCTTATNATAATAATAATAATCAACAATCACGTAATTAGTACACTCGAGAGTGTGCTTGAATGACACTCAGAAATTCTAATGAATATTATGATGATGGCTCATAATATTAACAATGTTCATAACTGCAGTAATACATAATAACATCTATTCATGTAAGGTAAGAAATTATTCATTTCACACCAAATTGATAGAGAAGAGAAATATCAAGCAGTTGCTTAAGGAACAAGGCACTATCATGCATAATTTATGATTAACTGGAAAATCTTCATTATTATTGGTTCAAAACAGTAGAGTTGTTAATTTAGAAAATCTAAAATCCAATGAACTCCCTAATTAAATGAAACCACTTTCGTGCTCTATTGAAATCATTTTACGTGAACCTTCAAAATAACATTCAATATCTTGCCTCAATACTGTTTCATAATCACTCAACAATTCCTTTGTTCAAAACCTTTGTAGAATGAAAACATTGAAATATCAACGGATAACTTGAAAATTTGCAATTTCTATCCGATTGGATAAAATTCTGGCAAAGGAACGCATTGATCTGTCGATCTGTAGTGCGCAACTTGAAACTGTCTACGCAGCACGGATACTTCAAAAACACAATGATATATTAGTCAAGTCATTACTTTAACCATTCTCTTAACTTATAACCAACCGAAACGCGCTGCACTTCAAAAGGATTATGACGGGATTAACGGATAAACGTATGCAGACACGCACACACACGTTAAACAAACAACAAGTCTTCGATAAACAATGCAAAATTGATTGAATGACCTTCACGCAAATTATTTCCAAACCATTCGCGCAAATCAACGACAAAAAAAGAAACTTTTATAAATGAACAACTCCAAATTGAAATGAACGATTGCAATTCCAAATTTCAAAGACAACCAGAAAATGGCTATGACCAGCTCCAGAAATGGCAGAAATATGCGGATTACTATGCAATATGAATCTCAAACAT